AGTGAGCAGCTTAAGCGGAATTCTGTGAAGTGACCCAGCCAGTGCTCTGATTTCGACCCAATGAACATCTCTGGAGAGATCTGAAGATTGCCCAAACCTTACAAAGCTTGAGAGGATCTGCAGAGAAAAATGGCAGAAAATTCCCAAATCCAGATGTGCAAAGATTGTCGCGTCAGACCCAAGAAACTTGAGGCTGTAATCGCTGTAATCGAGTAAAGGGTCTGAATACTCCTGTCAAAGTGATATTTCAGTTTCTCTTTTTTAATAAATTTGCAGTAATTTCAACAACACTATGTTTGTTGCTTTCGGATGTTGTTTCGTGACACAACTTGTTGAGTTTGTGTAGTGTTTAATGTTATAGTCGGTGTGATCACTGTCGGATCACAAAGGTAGTCACTTGCCGTGTTGCAGAATTTTAAACACAGTGTTGCTGCAGGTGGAATGTTGCTGTGAGGCGTGCTGCATGCATCCAGGCAATTATCATCTTGTCTTCTAGCAGTAAATACTTGTTCACCGAACTCCACCTCACTTACTGTGTCAGTGCTATAGTAATTACAGGTTGTGTTTTGATTTTGCATATCGTTTTGGTGCTAAGTGCCTCTTTGAACTTTCTGGCCCAGTTAAACAATGTCAGTCCCTCTGAAAGTGCTTGTGATATCATACGACGCATTACACGTTTGAACAAGCTTAGTAATGAGTGAGTGTTTTGTTTTGGATGGAAATTACACAAAAATTAGTTCACATCTAAAAATGTACTGCTTAATAAGCAAATATGGTGTTTGAGACATTAGCTGTGAATTTACATTTTGATTTGAGTTTGAATGTGTGAGCAATTATGCTGTTTTGAAGTATCTGAACTTTTAATGAATAGGTGGGTGAGTTGTGTAGCGGTTTTGGTAGAGTAATTTACACCATAAACCGTAACACCATTCAGCTCTACTGGATGCATTCAGTACACACATCACCTATTAGCTGCTAGCCCATTAAAAAGCAGCAGTGACAGATTGGGTGTAGCCTGCTGTGGCATTATCGAGGTGGTTTTCAGTCCATTAGGATATTCATCTTGGTTGTCCTGTGCACAAAACAGTGACTGATGGACAAGTCAGATTTAGCTACTGGAGGGCATCCAACCCAAGTGAGAGATGAATTAGAGCAGGGAATCACAGCCTCTGTTCCAAGGACAAGGCCAGCTCATATATTTTCCAAATTAAAGTGGCACATCTTGCCTGTACCGTTCGCATTTCTATGTCAGTATTCTAGTTTTTAAGCACACAAATTGTAAAGATTTATTGTGAGAACAAATAGCAGTGAAAAAGAAATGACTAAGTCCAGGAGATGACAGAAAAGGCGACAGAAATACACTTTTATAATGACCTCAAGAGAAATAAGAAAAACACAAAGAAACAAACCCAAGATAAAACAAAATGTAATGAAAAGAATAAAAATGAAAATATAAATGAAGTAAAAACAAACTAAGTAGCTGAGTTATATGTACTCAACAACTGTTATGTGATGTCTAATCAAGTTAGATTTTGTTTGACAAGTGTGAACCACATAATAAAGAGGAGGTCTTCTAATTTCAGTTTCACCTTTCTTTAAGTTCCCCCATTAGGTGTGACAGGAAGCTGGCAGGACCACTCTCTGGGCGTTACATCTGTTTCCCAGGCAGCAGCTCAACAAAACATGGCCTTGCACACCACCATCACGATTCTCACCACTTAGAATTACAGGAGAGAGAGAGAGCAAGAGAGAACGAGGGTGAGAGAGAGAGAGAGAGAGAGAGATTGTCAGCTATCTCAGTGAGGCATGCTTTGCTCAAGGCTACGTCTCTCTTTTTCTGCCCTCTTGTCTCTCTCCTCCTTCCATTACTCAGCAGCAAGAAGTAAAAAAAAGGTGTGACTGAGTGTTCATCACACGAAAAACTCTTTCCTCCTCTCCCAAAAGAAAAGCAGCTGTCCAGGCATGAAAGTGCAGCAGGTTAAGGAGACACAAAGTACACATGAAAGGACAGTCTGTAACGAAGACGGTGGAGACTAATGCTGAAAGCTCCCTAACTCTGAACAATTAATCAGCAGAGAGCTATAAAGAAACTATAAAGAAATCTGGTTTTGGTTCCAGATTTTCTCTGTTTACATTATTGTAAAAATGCATAACAACAACAGCAACTCTTTACAATATGACACTAAGAGGAAAGTTGGCACTAACTTTCATTATGGTAAATGATCTACAGTTACAAGATATTGCTCTTTAAATCACAAGCTCTTAACAGCCCAAATTTTAAATTATTGCTGCCCAGGTCTACCAGCATTTTCACTACTGTTGAAATTTTCACAGATTAATATATATATGTGTGTGTGTATGTATTCAACATATTTGATAGATCTCAAAGATACACACAATGCGTTTTGTTGATGAAACTTAAGGACAACATGAGTCAATATTTAAATGTTGCAAACAAACTCACAGAAAGGTGTTGTTTTTGTCATTTTTTCATGCCCTCTCTTGTGGTTCACAGTAGAGAGAAAACAGGAAATGAGGGGAGAGGAAGATGGTGAAAATGTGCAACAAAACTCACCTGCTAGAAACTGGGGGTGTTGAGTTTTCAGGGCATCTTTGAAATATTTCTGATTTCCACTAACAACCTCATATTAAATTTAAGTTTAAATGTTGCTGTGCATTCCTTAATGTTTTGAAGGTTAAAACCTGGAAAATACAATATTAAACCAAAGTTTAGGTGATCACAATTGTTAAATGTGGATAAAAGCCAATACTTGTTTAACAGTGCATAGATACACTGCTGTATTGAAGGTCCCATATTATATAAAGTAAGATTTTCGTCATCATCTTTTGTTATATTAAATACTGTATTAATACTGTGAAAGTATCAAAGCGCTCCGTCCACAGAGAAATGCTCACAGCCTGTATTCAGAAACTGAGCCTCAAAACGAGCCGTCAGGACTTCTGTAACTTAGTGATGGCACAACGAAGCAGTCACCACTCTGTCATGCCCCAAGCCCCGCCCACCTTGAACCACCATCCAACCTTGCAGGATTTGGTTTCTCTGATTGTTTGCCTGAAATCTGCTATATTTTTATTTGATCACACAGAAAACAGTCAGCTTTCAGAAGAGAGGTTCAGAGTCTCTCTTCTGATTGGCTCACCGACCTGTTGTTACTAGAGCTTCAGAGAGAAGTCTGAGAGAGGAGTGGCATTTTGGTTCTTAAAACCACAAATATATCTACTTATGTATATCAACACTTGAAACATGAAAATATGGGACCTTTAAAAATGTAATTTTTCACTGGCAGAGTTAAAAAATCATTAGTGTAGGTTGTATTTTCCTTAGTGTGAATGTGGTGGGGATGCAACATGTATTTAGCAACAACCTCTTTCGGTGATCTCTTGATTTACCAAAGTTTATGTATTGTATAATATATAGCTACACGGGAGCTACAGAAGCTCTCAGCAACTAGTTTAATCTATCATCAAGCTCAGAGACTGAAACTTCAGCCTCATTTCTGAGTAATTTTCAGTTTGATGGATCACTAAGCAACAGGGAACAACAAAAATGGAAAATGGTAATAACTTAATTGAGATACTTGACTTTTTTTGACATAGATGTTGAATAACTGTTCCCACCAGGTGTGTCCTTCAAGTGGCTGGCTAGTGAAACGTTGCACACCCAGGTGGTGTTACAGACAGACACACACACACACACACACACACACACACACACACACACACACACACAAAGGCTTGATACATAAGTAATTTTGTCCACCCCCACCTTGTCTGTCATCCTTGCCTTTCAAGCCGGGGGCGTATTCCTCATTGTGCACATGCTCACACATTCACACACATGCACTCACATTGCATGGAAAAACTGCTCAGCCTAAAGGCTTTGTGGTTGCCTAGCTGCCCACCTACTCACCTGTACCCACCCATCTTCACCTGTTTAGATGCTTAAGACCAAAATAGACCTGAGAGTAATTGTATTATCATCGGGTAATGTACGTGCAGTCTCGAGTGGTTGTTCATACTTGTAGAATAGTCCCCATGGGCGGTTCATTGAGGGTTTGGAGGCGTCAATCTATCATGGTGCCCTCTCACTTTGGACACACTTGCAAAAGCTAGTTGCGTGTATAAGTCCTTCACCTCTTGAACAATATTGGGGCTAGGACCTTGCTCAAACTTGATCTGCTGTGACCATCTTTCGTCTCCATTTCAACTATCCCACTTTCCCACTCGCTGAACTGACTGATTAACTACAGCTAAAACAAAGAAAATCAGGAAAATGAACATCAACAAGTAGGTTTACTGAGAAACTCAAAGCAGGGGTACACAGAAATCTTGGGGGGAAAAAAACAAAAACGTCAGAATTTGAAATTACACCTACCTTCCTGCAGCTCTCCCTTCGTGGGCATATGTAGGCGCTATAGACATGCACACAACACAAGCGACACAACTGCAGCCATGAGCCTTTGGCTAAGGTTAGCAGAGGGCTAACCTTAGTCTTCTCAATCCCCACATTGGAAAGATATGAGGGAGTTTGGTTTCAGATCTCAAATCTCAAGTCCTTTATTGACACGTGAAGAAACACTCACTAATAAATAATAGTACAAGCTTTTAAAATCAGCAAAACACCTGATATAGTAAATTGTGTAGTTTATGTGCAGGTTGTGTTTGAAGAGCGATTTCAATGTTCAAAATGTGAGTTGAGCAAATGAGTTTTGTTTTGATTGTTCGTCGCTTGCTGTTCATTGCCTTTATGGCTTGTGGAAAATGATGTGGAAGATGAAGCATGGACATTGTTGTATTGTGAAGGCTTAACCAGCAACATTACTATCTGATCGTCATTATTATCTGGCTTGGGATGAATGACCAAAAACTCTGTATCTGAACATATTTCTGTTTAATTAGTGCCTTTTTATATTGTTTATTTCTGAACATATTAACCCCCATCCCTCTTTCTCTCTCCATCTGTTTATTGCCTTCCTCAGCTCTTGGAGTACGTTGGCAAAGGAAAGAGCATCATGGACGTGGGTTTGGCCCAGGCCCGTCAGCCACTCACCACTCGCTGCCATTACTATGAAGTAGAGATCGTTGATGCTGGGGAGAAGTGCTATATTGCCCTGGGCCTGGCAAGAAGGGTGAGCGCTCTAAGAAAAAAAAACAACTTTGCACACACATTCAACACGTAAGAAGTAGGTATTTACACTTTCACACCAGTGACAGCCGTGGCTGGAGGCATTATGTTTTCCGGTTGTCCGACTGTCCATCAGTCCCTACATCCGTCCCATTCTCGTGAACGCGATATCTCATTAACACCTTGAGCAAATTTCTTCAAATTTGGTGCAAACTTCAGCTCAAAGATGAACTGATTAGAATGTGGTGGTCGAAGGTCAAAGCTCGAGGTCACTATGACCTCACAAAACATGTTTTTGGCCATAAGTCAAGAATTCATTATGGCACAATTAAACACAAATGTCTAATATGATAAAATGATAAAGTGATGACATTTTATATCCAAATGGTCAAAGGTCAACTTCACTATGACATCATAATTTCCTGCAAAGACACTTCTGGCCATTATTCAACACGGTAACTCAAGAGCAGAAGGGGAGATTGTGACCATATTTCCTGCAACTTGACTGGTTTGGCGGAGGCATGCAACCGCAAGGCGGTAATTCCAGTTTTTCATTTGGCCCCTACCCCATTTTTCCACCCTGTCATATGTTAGGCAGTCGAGCCCAAGGGATGTGGGGTGCATGAATAAGCCCCCCATTGGCTAATTCTTCCAGTTTACTTTCTGGTCTCCATAGTTCGACAAGTGGTTGAGCTAACAACATACTAATGATGGAAAACCTGAATTGGGAATAAGCAGAGGGGTAACTGGCAGCTCCTCTCCATTTAAAGGTAGGATTCCCCCCATACAAATCACAGTGCATGAAGAAAATATGATGAGTGGCTACACCAATAAAGCCCTTTAAGTGGGCACAGACTGTGTGAAATACAGTCTACTAGTAGTAAACAGCAGTACTGTCATAAGCTTTATTTTCTTTCCCATTATCCAGCAGCTTAGCCATTCTCTTTGGATCTAATGGCCTGCTTTGGGTACATGAAACACTTCCAAGAGGAAAATACAATTAGAGAAATTTTAACACCTCTCATTTGAGCCCTCATTTCTTTTTCCAAAGAATGCACATACGGTTCCCATTTCAGCATTAGCACTGCAGCTCTGCAAGTGACTATTAGCATGTAGACCTGCTTTGAAGAGTAAAACAAACAAACCTGTAGATGTTTGGGCACTGACTAAGAATGATACACACCAAGAGATGCCAAGAGTGAATAAAATAGGGGTTAATATTTCAGTACGCAGCTGCAAGGATGTGAAGTATAAGCAGTAATTTAGGATTTTGCACCAGTTACATGAGGGCTGTTATGAATCCTCCTTACTAAGCTTATAAGGACAGGACTTATAACTTGTCTGATAGATGGATTCTCTCATAAAACCTATTTGTATTACAATTTTACCTAATATTATTCTTCTGACTCAGGAACTATGTCTTCGACAGTATGCGGTTCATGATTTGTGAGTTTTTTACACCCTGTAAGTTTAGCCTCGAAAGGGTTATGAATTTGAAATATTAGTAACTGCCAAAGCCAAGGCCTGTGGAGAGCTGCCAGCACTGTCTGTTCCAGGGTCAAAAACGTTGCTCCTTTTAATAACAAAAATAAATGATGAAACTTGTACAACATCTTTCAAGGTCTCTGAGGCAATTTATATAGAACAGGAACAGAGGGATGCACAGGTCACTGAACGACATGAAGACAAAGAGAGCTGTAGATGCATACAGAGAGGAGTGGCTAAGCAGGAGAGACACACTTACACAGTATGTGTGCGCCCTACTTACAGGTTTCCATTCAAGCTATGTAATTTTAGAAAATTGGTAAATAATTAAAAACTGAATATCATTTTATTGTGGAAGGTCTTGTTAGGGTCGTTGGCTTTTGCAAATTCGTTGATGTCTATGATGAGACAAAAACGAATAAATCTGTAACGCAGACAGCATTTTTCAAAAGAGGATAAAACAGGTTTTGGAAATATTTGTGGAAACAGTTTCTTAGTTTCAGACCTCAGGGAGGGCATTTCCCTTTGGCAGCAATTGAGATCTGGGAACTATTGTTGCTAGAAGACATGCTACCAATTTCTGTGGTTCGATTTCATTCAACATTTGAAAGAACTGTCATGCTGTTAAGTTTGTATTTGCTTGCTAATAGCAATAGCACAAACTCCCACAAGTTATTTCAACTCCTGCTGAGTCTTTGGCAGCTCCTGAACACGCATGTGTTGTGTTCATTTGGCATTATACAAAAAACTCACAGCAACTAGACCTGTACCCTCAGCGCTCTGTACGTTAGCCTGTGATGTGAATCAGAACAGATTAACAGTAACAGAGCAGCGAGTGTCCCTGCTGGTTAACTGCCTGTGTGGTTTCGAAATTGACTTATACAACACACAATACAATGGTACGATGAGTTGTGGAAATTGCATGAATATCATCAATAATAAACACAGAAAACACCATAGTAGATGAGAAGTGTAGTAGATGTAGGCTCATCATTCAGCAGAATAAAGAAACCACTGCCCTATCCGTTTAGTTGATAGTAACACGACAGATTTGTAGCCGAATTTTGGAAGCACTCAACCTCATATATCAGACCTATGGAAATACCCCCATTACATAACATTACATAATACTCATTTAGCTCACCTATAGTTTACTTTTATGTCATGTTCATATATCGTATGTAAAGAACAGTTATGTAAAGATGCTATATAAGGATGTTTTCATAGTCTTATGCAAAATACTTCAGATGTACAATATATTACAATTAGTGCCCGTCCACACAGATATTGCACAAATCACCAACAGTACCATGGTGGTGAGTTGGTACCAAACCCCCCCTGAAGAACAGGAAGGGCTGTCTCTGCAGAAAAATAATAAAACTTGAATGTCTAATTTTTTGTAAATACATTTACACACAAGTACACAAATCAAAACAAACACCTTAATGTTCTTAAAGTAAAAAAAAACATTTTAAATTCAATTCAAAGACTTTAAAGCCTTTAAATCACATTATACTCCAAATATACATCTATTTACTGAATTCTATTCTGTGGCTATAGAGACAAAACGACTTGTATCTAATGGATCCAAACAAACAAGAGAACATGTGCACACACATTCTCTCAGTTAAACACACACAGACATTGCTCCCATGGGTGAGAAAGAAACTGAGTGGTGATAACTCCAGTCCCATTACCTCCTCAGAGTTCCCCTGTCCTTTCTTTTTGCTCCACTACATTTCTCTCTGCATCTGGGTTTCATTATAAAGATATTAAGCTTAAGTCCAGGAGAGGTGATAAAGCAGCAAATTGAAGGGCTTGGATAATGACTGTTTACTCAACAGCAGTCACAAGTTTGCATGCTGGTCTTTTTCACGTAGCATCCCATGGTACGAAAGCAGGCCTGAATATAAACACAAATCCACTCATTAATACCCTGCAGACTGCCAGCTTATTCCTGTCTCTCTCTCTGTCTCTCTCTTTCTGTTTATTGTGGTTCCAGACTGCAGGCTCAACTTTGTACTCAATTTTCCTTACTTTGCAAATCTCTTTCTTCCCTCATGCCAACTCTCCTACCATCTTAACATTTGCAGTAGACAGTCAACTTCTTAAGAAAAGCAACACATTTTTATTTAGGTCTCTGTGTTTGTTTTTAGCCATGCTAGAGGTGAGGGTCTAAGAATGGTTGGCCCACCACTGGGGCCGACTGTGCAGGAATGTATCACTGAAATATCTGAACAGCCATTGGATTGATTGGCTGAAATTTGGATGGGTGAAATCGAGATCCAAAGTGAAGCTGGAATTTCCAAGTTCTGTTTCAGTAAGAAAACCTCCTTCAAAATCCAACTGGCAATTGTAACTATGCGTACATGTAACTACGCTAACACCTAAAAATCCAGCCTCGGAACAGAGCCTTTCTCAACAGTATGTTATGTAGTTCACATCATAAGTCTAGAAGAGGATGGCAGTTTTTTGAAAAACCATCTAATATTGTTACTTATTCAATATATATGTTTTTTTTTAGCTGCCCTTAATGAACACTATTTCCCAGAAGCCTGACAGAGCAGGTGAGTCCATGAGTGAGTCGAGGGGTTGCAGCTCATGCAGATATGTCTGTAACAGCAGGACAGAGAGAACTGATCTTTGTCAAGGTTTTTAGAGAGCAGAGATTACAGCTAGAAAGCTGAAAAAATGAATGAACAAAGCAATGGTGAGCTTTATGGATATGGATGAAATCAAGTGTCTGCACTGCCATTAATCAATGTTTGATCATGGTTTAATCATTGTTTAATGTTTTGTATCAGTGCTGAAGTGGAGCTGATATTTCTTAAAATATTGAAAGTAAAGAAATGCTGAATTAGAGGTTGCAATGAGTTACAGGAGCTAGCATGGACGAGACACCATGACTTCAGCTCTCTATTTGGTTTTCATGGACATTCACCCCTCAGGATGAAATGTAATGATTTCAGTGATCCCTGGGCTCTTCCTTTAGTGCCATCAGCAGGTCAAATTCGTATTTATCCAGTACCTAGATTCACCTTCTAGATACACCGCAAAATAATGACATTTCCATCAGCCTCAGCTACGCTTTGTGTGTACAACTAATTAGAAAGTGATAGCATGCTAACATGCTTTCATTTTCTAGTTCTAATTTTCTAAAAGATGGTCGTTAACATCAGCACATACCTAAGGAAAGCCTGGAAGAGTTGCTAGCGTTGTAGCAGACTCTGAGTCTTGTTTACATGAACATTCATTGTCTAATTTCACTACTTTGTTTTAATTCTGTTCAAAATCCTAATACTTCGAAAGATGTCAAATAAATACAATGTTGAGGTTCAAGATGTTAAAATCAAATTAGCCTCTTAAAAAAAAAAAGGTGGAAGTAAATTGTTGAATCCCCCAAGCTACTGTTGCCAGTTTCCTGTCCAACAGGGAAGTTGCAGGAATTTAGGTTATGTGATAAGTTTGAATGCTTTCTATGTAAGGTAAATGTGTTGTTTTGTATCTTTGTAATCTCAG